GCTTGCCGAAGCGCGCGCTTCGGTTCTCGCCGTGCCCAAATTACGCGAGGGAGTTGCAGCAGAGATAACTTTGCAGGAACATCCATTCCCACCTTATCTTCCATCAGGAACACGTTACGCTGCCTACATCAAAGCAGACGCTCTGCTGCTTCCCTCCTCGCGGCCCCGATCCTCTACTTCACGCCGAAAAAAAAGTAATCAGAGTGTTGCTCCACAATAATGAAATCGGAATGCTAATTATCAGCATATTGCCTTCCTTCCCTTCGCAATGCCCTGCCTTCCAGCCCCAAATAGCTTTCCTCCTTCCTCGCTCCTCTCCATCCGGTCCTCCCACGCTCCTGGGCACGCCGTTGAGCCCGGCTGGGTGGAAGTTGTCCTGCAGGATGCTTCCCTCCCTTCCATTTAAGGACAGGAATTCCTCGGGGAGCCGGGGCGTGGAAGGGATCCCTCTCCCCATCCCTAATTACCGCCTGTCCCTGCAGGAAGCTCCTTGCTCAGCCGTCGGGCAGAGCCATGGCGTCTCCAGGCCGCCCGCTCCGCAGCCCTTCGTGGGAAGGGTCCGTTCCCGTTCGGGTGCCAGGCTCGGCGCTGGGAAGGGTGCTGGCCCTCGTCCTGGCAGGAGGGCTGGGGAGCGGGACCCAACCAGCCCCTCTTTTTGTTGGTGGGAGCCTGCGCCGGCTCCTCACGCGTGATGATGAAGGCTGAGGAGAGCGTCATTTTGGTGTCAAAAAAGCATCTTGTGGTGAGAAAACAGCAGAGTTTAAGCACAAAATAACCGGTGTGAAAGTGGGGCTCTGCGGGGGGGTCCGGGCTGACGTGGGTCCCACTGCCCGCGCTCCAGCGTGGCTTAACCTCTCCCCCTCCTCTCTTCCAGGTTCATGAGCGGGAAGGGGCTGGTCATCTACCCGGAGATTGGGGATAAACTGGACATTATCTGCCCCAGGGCGGAGCCGTCCAAGCCTTACGAGTACTACAAGCTGTACCTGGTGAAGAAGGACCAGGCAGATGCCTGCAGCACCGTCATGGACCCCAACGTGCTGGTGACGTGCAACCGGCCCGAGCAGGAGATCCGCTTCACCATCAAGTTTCAGGAGTTCAGCCCCAACTACATGGGCCTGGAGTTCAAGCGGCAGCAGGATTACTTCATCACATGTGAGTCGCCCTCCTCTTCCTCGCCGCCCGCCCTGGCTCGCTGGGGGCCGCGGGCGCCTGGAGAGTGTCGCCAGGCGCTTGTGTGCGACTTGGCTGGTGCAAAGAGCTGACACGTATGGAAAATATTTCCCGCTGGA